ATATAGGGTTCTATAAACCCTAATGCAAGGGGCAAGCGTTACCGATTAAGTCTGTTTACAACCCCGAGTGCAAGTGCATCTTCCAGAGCCGGCGAGTGACACTCCGGCCGTTGCGGTGACGACCTGATTCGGGTAGCCTGCAAGACGTCTAGGTGGGGCTTTTAAAGCTTGTGAAAAATATTAGTAAATAAGATCCTCTTAAGCCCAATAAGGGAAAATATAAAATGTCCCAAAGCCCTACCTAGACGTTCAGTCTTCACAGGACCGTTGGAGGGTTTCGACTCACACACTCGCACTCGGCAGGCATGGCTTCAGACAGTAGGTCCGCTGAGATTGGAGGGTTTAGGGTTTAGAAGGGCTGGTGAAGTTTTTACATGTTTGTATGATTGAGGGTTTGAGTCTCCATCTAGGAAACACCTTGCTGGCTTGCGCAGGCCAGCATTCAGGAGCATCTATAGAGAAGGCTTACAGTAGTGGTCTCAGGCCTCGGTATCGATTCAGCCCAAAGCGCCTAGGGAGCCTTGTATTCTAGGAAAGTCCGACCACCCAAGTCTGAGGGTGACCCTACGTCGGCCCTGCGGGTCTCGTGGAGCACCCTATAATGCCCTGTTCGTCCAGCGACTCTAGTGAGTTGATGGAGAACTTGAGGCACTGCAACAAGACTGCGTCGGGTTTGTATGAGCTGATGGTGTCGGACGAGCCAAATCTAGAAGCCTCTATGCCTGCTGGCCCTATGTAGGGGCCCCATCTCTTGACTTGTAGTGCACTCAGTGCTGCTTGGCAACTAGATTCTGTGTACGTACATCTACTGTTGCTGAAGCCCGAAGCCCCAAAGCTGCTCAACCCCCAAACCGTGGATTGGATACTCCTGCACACGCGATCTCAAAGCCTTTAACACATGTTTGAAACCCATGTCTATGTCGAGATCTATCTGTCTATCCATCTGAGAATGCATGTTTATACATGTGTATTTATATATGTATACATACAGACTCACATAGCACATCCCAGACCGTGCCTCCTTGATCCGGTGCAGGCTCCAAGGTCACGTCAAACCTTGCTTCTATCCCAGGGTTTATTCGGGAGAGCCCATCGGGCATGATTTCTGGTGCCGGTT